CGAAACCCATGAGAGATCGGAATCATAAATGTCGTCTTGCATAAAGTTCAAATCTAAGGCAATCGGCGGTGAAAGCTCCAAATGTCCGGGCTCACCAGCCTTAGGCTTTACACTACCCAGCTTCTGATTCATAGATAAAGCCGCCTCCAAAATTTTAGGCTGGGGATGCAGCTCTTCGGATGATGAAGAAGTCGCCGAACCGGGATCCGAATCAGCCTCGGTGACTGCGACTGAGGCCTTCTGCATGTTGGCGCCCATAGCAGTCGGATTTGGACGATATGGAAAAGCGCAAGAAGTTATTGGAACCTCATCGTGACAGGGAGACTTAAGGCACATGAGGCAGCCAGCTTGACGCTGGCCAGCGTCAATTAGATGAATTCGACCCTGCGAAAGGTTAGAGTGGCCACCAGTGCCCACTGCAATTAATTTGTCGGTTGTTCCAACTTCCCGTGCCTCATAAGCCGGATTTGCTTCAATGGACTGCATGTTGCCTGAGGAATAAAAAAGAGAGTATATTTAAAACCAAGACAGACAGATTTAGTATTCAGGATAACTGTGAAATTATGTAACCAAGAGACTGGAGAAAGCAAGCGCGCGTACTGAAGTAGAATAATTGAAGTTGCAACTTTAAAGCATCAGAAAGAAAAAAAACAACTAGCTTTATAGTCAGCTCATCGTTAAGCAGGAGCTGAAGATAGTTCTTGTCCTCTGTGGTGCATTAAGGAACAATGCTCTGAAAACAAATATGCAAGTGGCCCATGACATTCATTTTATAGACTTTTTGGAAGATCCTAAAGGCAAGCATGCTTTTAAAGAAAAATGAGTCTGCCTTGTTTAGCTGCCTAAAGAAAATATACGCAATCAGATTTATTCATCTTATATTAGTTAGGGTGCCTTAAATAGTTGATTGAGGCAACGCATGGAGCAAAGTTTAAAATATGTGAAAGGAAAAAGTAGACTGGTATAGGGTAGGATTTTCAAGACATGCTTCTGCCTATAAGCCAGCTTATTAATGTGCTATGATTAGAGCTTCCTACACGTTCAATAATAGCCAGCCAAGCTGATAACAATTAATTTAGTAAAAAACAGCAAGGCTCCTATACTAAATAATCATTATCACCTATTCCACCAAAATTCGTTCCATAAATTCATACTGACATTATCGCAAGAAAAACATTTATGAAGTAGGATGGAAATATGTCACATACCAGTATGAAGCGAATTGATGTCAGTGGGTCCAAGCAGATTGGGAGGTATCGGTTTTATAGCACAACAATTCAATTCTCTTTGTCCAAGCGGAGAATCATGGTAAGTCAAATGGATAGCAGAGTAGCAGATCTAAATAAATTGTGGTTATGAATACTATAAAAATAAATGTATAATTGAAAAAATGTTAAGCCAATCAAATAATAGTTTGAATAAACAGCGGCATTTGAAGCAAATGAATTAAAGTGATTTCCATTTGCTCCCCTTCAGCCTCTAAAGTTCTTAATCTGACTAGTTTTATGTCTTTCATTTGAGCAAATAGCACGTGCAAATTTTAGTCAGCACAGTCCGATTGGTCGCACTTTCTGATGGTGGATTCAACTTATTAGAGGCTAGCGCAATGGGCAAGTATCGT